AGGAAAGAGGCAATCGCCCAACCAGCAGTTGCTCCCGTGCAAAAACAATCCGAGCCGAACAGTAACGCACCAAAGCACAAAAAGACAACGCAAGCTACGACTACGCCTATTACGATAACTCAGAGCATCCCGCCGATCAGAGCGATTACGAAAATATCGAAGAATTCCGAAAAACAAACAAAAAACAGTAGATGTACCATACGCTATACCAATTTGTTAATGTTATATAAGCCAGTATTTTAATTAAATCGACCATTTAGATACAAATTCTACCAGTATTACATAATCACAATCAAATACTCGTACATCAAAATGAATCATTATGACAATACCAATATAAATATGTATAAACTTAAGACAATTAGACTTTAGGCTTTAATCTTGTATAATTATTGTAATGTTATTATTAAAATAATAAATGTTTTCTAGAAAATAATACAAGGACTATGTTATTTTTATTACAGGCTTCGTCTTTCCTTGTATATCAACCGACATCTTTTATTGTGTAGTTATCAAAGAAAACCAGTAAAACAAATACAATTAGCTCAATTACACTTCAGATACTAATATATCTTAACATTAATCTCATAATCAGTTTATTTTATATTAACAAAATATAAATATAAATGCAATACAAATTATTTAAAAATTAACAGATAAACAATCCTTCTAAACATGAAATGAAAGTATATATGAAGGCAATTTTTCATATTCAAAATTATTCTAAATTTCTCCCGGGTTGAATATAGTGCTGTAAATAAAATGAATAGCTATAATAATAATCGTCAAATAATTTATTTCATATTTATTTTATAAGACTGTAATATATCTCTACTAAAAAAAATTTTACATTGGTATTTCAAAAACAAAGCTCTGCGACATCAGGGTACAAAGACTTGGGAAATTAACTATTAATAACTCGATATTTCATATATTCCATATAATGTTTCGTACAAAACTCTGTTTATTAATTAATATATTAACTTAAAAACTAAGAATTCAATGTAAACTAAAATGTCAATTAAAATTGACAAACTTGCCTATATTTTAAAGAAAAAAAAGCATTTCTAAACTTCAGTACTTTTTAAAATAAATCTCCCAACCTAAATAGCGCTCAAGCAAAATAACTCGGTCAGGCATTTTACAAACTTCTTGTTTTAGTTCTGACTAGTATTTTTAATAAATATTTGACATGCAAAATAATTTTTACTTGCTATATCAATTAACACCAATTAAGATTTGGTGTAACGTAATGTTAAAATGTGTGCAGTCAATAAAAAAATAACTATGAATTAATTAAAATTTTAAATTGACTTCACTAAAAAGAAAACAAACTTGTTATTATAGCTTGAGCGCTAATATTTGAAAGTCATACAGTAATAACAAACACAAGTAATATGATTTTAATTATTAGAATAAAATCATTTTTCCAAGGGCCTCTTCTGATATTGTTGAAACAACTCATCATATTTACATGCAAAAAAATATGACCATTATGAAAAACTGTATTCTGGTAAGAATATCATAAGAGCTAGTTTGTAATAACCATTATCATGATCAAATATGCATTGACAAGAAATTAATTATAAAAGGAACAAATTTATATTCTAATTTCACACAGCTTACTAGCCATGACTGAGGAATACATCTGAACCAAAAACAAAAATTTATCAGTGATTTACGCTCACAATAATATTGCAGATATAATTTTGATATGTTTAATTTAATCATATAAGTTAAAAAAAATATATCAATGTTATATAGCTTGTAAATAGTGGTTTCCATTTTTACAGCCCCCTAGCTGTGAATATCATAGTGGTACATGTAAGAATACTATAATACAAGTACCAATAAGATATTCACAGTGATAAAAGTTTTCTTAACTTGAATTTATATTTTACTTCAATCATAATAATGGCTTAAATAAAAAATGAAGTAAATAAAAATAATTAATGATATGTGACAAAAACATTTTTGCATTTGAGTGCATAAGATACATAGCGAAATTAATTAGAATTCTGGGCACAGATAATAGAAGATGTATATAACATATACAATATATCAGCAATAACAAATGACAAAGTGTCTACAACGACAGCATTTCAGATGACCAACTATGATTCATCTTGGCTATTGGTAGTATCAATTCTAAATATATCAAATCTTTTTTACCATTTATATGTATAAGCTTACTATTCCCATATCTGTCATGCAATGTTGTCATAAAAATTTACATATGCATACAGAGATGTTTATCACAAATTTGCATACATATGCTAATATACATATAAACATATAATATATATTCATATATACATATTCATATATACCTATCCCAAGTTTTACACTTTTTTTTTATTTTCCTATAACTCATTCAATATGTTCGATATTAAATATATTAATATTTATTTGTTGTTTAATGTATTTGTTATTCATTATATTAAAAACTGACTAAAAGGACCTTTTATAGTGATCTTCGTTTAGCACATTTTTTCCATATAAAAGTGAAATTTTCAAGTTGCACGTTTTTTTCTGGAACATATCTTCCATGTAAAACGAGGGATAGGTGTATATCATATCTACATATATATATATACACAAATACATGTATATACAGATATTCAAAAGACTCAACATCCAGCTGTAACAGAGTGACACTATTGATTGAACTATCATGAAAAAATTAGAAAAACATTATTTCATGCATTTTGAAAGTTATTAAGCTTTTAAGTGAAACCTTTGATCAGCATGCTTTATTTTATTATGCGTTATTTTATTTTAAAGGCCTTTAAAGTCTACCAATGTTGAAATGTTACATTCATAGTTTAACAAATCATCTTAATTCTGTCAAACTTGTGATATTATTTTTGACTGCAATCTAGAAATGTTATTCATGGTTAATAAAAATTAACCACAATAACCAAAAAATGTTTAACTACGGTTTAACCAAAACATCTGTTGATCCTTAAAAAATCATAACTTTCAAACTGCATGAGATCTTTTTCTTCATGATAGTTATAATCAATAGTATCACAATATTTTAACTTGATGTTGAGTTCCTGGACATCTGTACATATGTAAATATACATGCTTGCATACATATTCATTCACACAGCGTAGAATACAAAACAGACTGGTGGATTGCAGGTAAAGTGCACATCATATTTGTTTTAATACCAATTAACTAATTAACCTCTGAATTATTAAAAAAGACTACCTTTTTTATGTATAATAACATACATTTGTATACCTCGTGATGAGAATAAAAAAAAATATATCAAAAGCATCCTTTACCTTCAATCCATATGTACATACATAGTTTTTGTGGAATATACATATGTATATATACATAAATACATACATGATATATACATATATATATACATATAAATTTGCTTAGATAAATAGATGAAGATACATATAAAATAGTGCAAATAAATATTAAAAATTTAACATATTTATTTTAATATGATCAATACTTATAGTTGATGATCATCAAAAAATTCATCATTTGTCAACAACTTATTAGGAAACATCACGTTGTGACAAACAGCCTAAATTATTAATTACGAAGATCAAATTCTTCAATAGATGAAATACATAAATAATTGTTATATAAAATATTTCGAATCTTTAAAATCTCATTCTACCTTATAGAAAACTAACTTGGTTCAGTTTATGTAACTTCAGCAGCAGCAGCTTCATATAACTGATGCATACCTCTATCTTAATAAATAGAATTATACACTTACAAATTATATCTATAATAAAATTTCTTATTAAATTCATTTCACAAATGTACTGCGGCTCTTTTGGTTTCATTCAAATTTTATATTACCTTATGTAATCGGTCAAACTGAAAAGTACGCATTACAACATTTCTTATTTACATTTATAAACTTCTCATAATAAATCAAATTAAAATATCACCAATTTTAACTGTAATCATTTTTAAGATATCTAGATTCAAACGTAATACGTACATTTCTTTTATGATAAAACTGTATGTTCTTTAAGATCATGGAATTAACAAATTATTACCTGTCTGCAAGCTTATAGTGTAGGATTATCAAACTTAACTCCCTTAACAACTCGTATATCACCACAAGGAACTTCTTGAGATATATCCAACACTTGAAACTTTTTCAAAACTAACAGACTGTAAAACTTCTGTGCTGCCTGTGATAGAAAATAATTATAAAATACTAAGTGATTTAAACATAAATATTGATGTATTATAATTATATAATAATATATAAAAATATAATAATAATTACCTGTTTACGGTTATTATTCCTTGCCATGTCTGATATAAATAAGTGATCCTGTTTGTAAAACTTCGTCTTAACTGACATAAACAACTGTGCAGCCCTTTTATTAAGAACTCTTTCTTCGAATTGTTCATCCGTTTCATCCACCATTTGTTCCTCTCCAGTCTACAAAGCAAATACCCATTAGTAAATTCTTTATAACAGCAAAGTAGCATTACAAGTAGAAACAATTACCAGTCCTACAGAAGGTGGGAAATCAAAATCTTCATGCCAAGGTGTTGCCACTCTCTCAGACATTGGCGGTCGGGGTGTCTGATTACCTCCCGCTAATTCATCATAACCCATGTTAGCCATTTGCATGGATTGGTTCTAAATAATTAAAATCATTATTAGGTGCCATTAAATTATTTAGTTCGGTATGTACAGAAGAAAACTAAAAACTTTCATTAGAAAACAACTGTGGGAGAAATTGTGTGGACTAATGAAATTGAGTTACAGCACAAGTAAGTCCAATATTGTTAAGATGCAGGAAATACAATCAAGGATTTTAAGAAAGATTATATTTGCAACTTGGTATGTCACCAATTTTGCAATGTGTAATAAATATGCTATTCACAATTTCAATAAAAAAAAATGTTTGGAATGCTGTAGAATGAATATTACCTCATTAAATCCAAATGAAGGAACTTGCAGAGCATCTGAATGTGCTTCTCCAAAAAATTCTGAATGGTCTCTAGGACCATCTAAAATTGAAGAAACCTGCAAAAAATAATAGAAGATAAATATGCAAGCAATCATGTGATTTATTTTAGTGAAACTAGAAGGTGACAATTACCTGATCACCCGGTATTTGAGGCAACCCAGCAACCATTGTATTAGAAAGGTCTGCATTAATAGAAGTCATACTACTTTGTTCTAATGGAGCCGATGTTAGCCTTGTTGCATCCATATGCGTCGGTGATATACTCGGTTGTAGGTGGCTGGGGGTCATTGGAGTACTCCTCATCACATCAGGTGTCATTGCTGTCGGACTCATTCCAGTTGGCTGAATGCATGGCGTCATAGGAAGACCATGTGTTAAATCACCTGAAACGAATTCTTTATGACTGATTATTCTGTTTCATAAAAATACCTAGGCAGCTAAATACTTAACTTTGAACAAATACATTATATAAAAATACATACAAGAACATATACATACATATACATATATTTCATATAAATTACCTAGCAATTCTGTTCCCGGTGTCATAGGTATCATGCTAGGTGTTGGTGGTTCAATTAATGGCTGTCCTGGTGTAACGGGTTGATTAAGTACATCACCCACATCTGAAAAATGATCATAATCTATTGACATGATCAAATATCAAATTAGTATGCATAAATAAAAAAAAAATGCACATGCACATAACAAAATTTAAAGTAACAAAAAAAAACTCTCTTCTAACTCACCATAGTTTTCTTGAGCATCGTGACCATCGTGAGCATCTTGAGCTTCTTGAGCATCATGTATTCCCGCCGATGTCATTGGAGATAGTACTGGTTCTGACATATCTGGCTCGTGATAAGGAGTTTTACTAGGCTGTAAGAAAAATGTTTGAATATTAGCTATTATAAAACTTCATGAGGAAATAAACAAATGATTAATAACCAACCTCAGCTTCAGTTTCGCCAAGTAGTTTTCTTTTGCGTGTTAAGCGCTTAGCAACAGATGAATCAGCTGCATTAGCAGGGTCTTCTACTGGATTTGGTTGTTCAGGTAACAGATCGGGACCCAGATTAGCAAATTCTTCATTTTCAAATGATCGTGATGTCAAGTGACGTTGATAATTCTAGGAATAAAGTTATATGTAATTATTTTAAAAACACATCTAATTAACGAACTCTTACCTTAAATAATGTTCTAGCTGGAATGTGACGCGATGGCAAAGCAAAAAGTTTTTCTACTCCTCCAGTTTCCTTCCAATGCATTAGCCTAAATAATAATTAATATATAAAAATATTGAATCAATTATTATAATAGCTTAAATTTTCAATTATTACCTTTTCGTTGGAGGAGCAAGATCCAATGTGGTAACAATATCTGTTGTATCTGATAGCTGATTTTTCATTTCTTCACCAGATATATTTTTAACTTCATCGACAATAAGCTTTCGTTTGCGCTTTGCTTTAGTAACACCTATAACAAAATACTTCATGTAATCATATGATAATTTAATAAAAAATTAATAAAGAATGATTGTTGCAATTTACCATCATATTAGTGGCACTTATTTATGAATTACCTTTTAATGCTGAAGCATCGATGGGTGCCAATGCAAAGCTCTCCTCTTCGTTCTGTAACAAAGTAGTCTGATCTGCCTCTGGCGGCAAAATATTTCCATCATCCATATGCTGCAACAATAAAACATACAACATGTTAAATAACATTTATAAAAAAAATCATAAATAATAAAAAAATCTTACCTGCTCATGCATTTCAGAAGATGGAACAGAAGGTGGTGGCATTAATTGAGGAGAGGGTGCCAGTGGTGTAGCTCTTCCTGCTCCTGTAGGTAAAATAGGACTTGCTGGACGAGAATCATCTGAGCTATGTACTGGGGAAGGAGCTCCGCCATCAAAATGATCCATATCATCATCCGAATCGGCCCTTACTGATGATGCAGGAGGTACATCCAGAGATGTTGATAAGGGAACAGGTTCCGGAGCTACATCACTAAACAAGTCGCCTTCGAATAATCCACCAGCATCTATAAATGAGTAAACATATTAAAAAAATTGTATAAAACAGTTAAATATAAAATAAGACAAAGTTGAAGATTTAAGTAAATCTTAAAGCTTACGCCCAAATTCCTCTGTCATGCTATTTCCAAAAGCGTTTTCATGAGTTTGTGTATCTATAGAAGGTTCTTGAATTGAACGAGAAGTACTTGGCAAGGGTTCCTTTGTTCTATCCATATCTCCGCCAATATTGACTCCATCAGTAAATAATAAATTGCTCTGAGAAAACACATTTATACGTAAGACAAAGTTACACAGACAGAGACAATCAAATATAAACATAAAACTCAGTAACAAGTAATAAAATACAACTACACAGTAACAAAAATCAATTCTCTGAGCGAATTCTAAATTGAATGCTAAATAAATTACCTGCTCTAATGATTGATCTGTACTAAGAGCCTCTCTCATGATATCTGGGGATTCAGAATCAAAAACCATATCACCAAAACCATCTTCGGGTGGAACAAGCTGTAAAGATCCATAATCCTCTCGAAGAGTAATATCTTCTGCACGAGTTTGATTTAAACTAAATTGTGCTTCTAGATCAATGTCACTGTAATAAAAAAAAGTCAATCAAATCATGAATATATAATTACATATTTGTTCTCAAAAACATACGCATATATATATTAATTTGGAAATAAGAACAAACAACACTCGTTTTCGCACTAATTTCTTAAATAATAATTTTCACAAACGTTTCGAGACTAGGTTTGTCTCATCATCAATGTGTTATAATTTAAAATTTAAAATATGGAAACCTAAATTAGCATTTCGTGTTATCCATTACAAGTCGCTCGATATACTGTCCTCTGCCACACCAACGGTCGTCAGTGTCCGCATTCTCTAATCACTTGAAAACCACTTGAAATTGAATAGTCAATCATCGGATAGGAAAGGAAGGATTAGGGTCCAGTTGAGAAATAGATGTCGTTAGGAGAAAAAATATTCTATGAATGAGATGGTTTGTTTATAAGATTTGTTTTAGGATTGTTATAATTAAAAATATATGTACATATATATATACACACTCATATATACAAATGTATACCCAAAGTACAAAACATCACATATACAAATACCTATATACCCACAACATACACATACATATATAAATACACACATATATACATACACATATTCACACACATATATATATATATATATATATATATATACATATATATACATATATATATATATATACACACATATATATACATATATATACATACATACAGACGCACATATATACATACACAGACACACCTACATATATATAAAAACACTCACATATACTCACATACATACAACCATATTACATATTATATATATATATATATATATATATATATATATATATATATACCTTTGAAAATATATTTTTAATCTTAACTACTCAAATTCTAATAAATATTACATACTTTAAATCTGTCATCGCTGTGTTGAAGTCATGAAAAACTTCTGGTAAAGTAATGGCATTCATAGCTGCCTCTCGATGTTCTTCAGGTAAATCAACCATTCCAGGGCGAAATGCCATCTAAAAAATAACATTTTAAAGAACTGATAAAATTAACTTTTCACTAAACCATAGAAATATAACAGCAAAATGCTACTTAATCAAGTATGTTAGTATCACTGACACACCACTCTATATGAAATATTGCAAAATTACAGATTACAATTCACAACTCAATGCACTATCTATTTCACGTCAATTGAACACAATAAATATCATGAACTTTACCTTAATCTTAACGAATGCTTCATTGCAATCAGCAAGTAAATACTTTGCTTTTCGAGAGTATATTCTTACAACTCCCAGCAACAAATGTCCTGTTGTTCTCAAAGCCATTTTAACTTTAGGCTGTAAAATTCCATCAACTGATGATTCAATATTAGTTTCGAATACATGGGCTTTTGTTAGCTTCTTGTCCCAATGAGCAGCTAACCAAATCCGGGCCAAAGGCCCTTTCTTTGATAGTACAAAATGCGCGTAAAACATTTTGACCTAACTGTAAAACATAATTTAAAATTAATTTTAGGTCATGATATTAATAGAATAATCAACTATTTGTTTGGTATGCTTGAATATAATTCATTTTCACGCTGACAACAAAAATGCACTGACAGCAACTGTTGGCGCCTATTTAGGTAGGACCAAAATATTGAGGTAAAAATCATCATTCACAATGCAAATCGGAACTTACGTTTGTAAATCACTTTTTCTAAGTATAATTGAATAGTTGTGCACTCATATATGCGTTATTTTCCATCACAATTAGTAGGACAATATATGACAAACAATAGCATTACAAAACACGAATAAACACTCATATTATACCAACTGGCATACTACAACAAAATGGCGATTGATGGCGTATATCATATTTTCGACAAACCACAGAGGCACTACGCGTTCTATCTTTATTTATTAGGGAACGACACACTGCAACCAATTCAAATTGCGCAATGCACTCGTTTTTTTCTAAATGTTTTATTAATTACAGGACACATGCATGCAATAACATAAAGTAAAACGTCAAAAAATTTCAAGCCGTAAACGTTCTTTTGTTTTTATGCATCCACCATTTTTTTTTTCATAAAGATAACATTTTTGGCAAGTTTTGATAATAGTTTTTATTTAATAGTTTTTCTTTATTAATTGACAGTTTCATTAATTAAATTAACACTTATTCAGTAACAGAAGAGATTTTGAATAAAATATAATAATAATCATTTAGATAAACGCAACCTGTTGAGATACTCTCACATTTAGAATGTTTTGGTTTCAATCAGTTCTACTTTAATAACATACAATACGTGACAGTAAATATCCATCTACTCTGGTCCAATTTTAATTTACAGTTATTTTGTAATGACTATTAAACTGGATTCGTGATTTATTTTATGCGTACATTTAATTTAGTTTTTATTTTATTTTGCTGATGAACCATGGAACAAGCAGGTATATATTTTTATAGTATAATAATTGTCCTTTATCTTGAGAGTATTTTTATTTTAGGTTTTACGCGAACACAAGGTGATGGAATGGAATTCAAGTTTTCTCCGGAAAAAATTGAATATAAAAATGACCATAACTCTCCTGAAGATAAAAAAATTCATTTAGTTCCTGGTTCATTAATTAGGTTAAATCGTTCTGTATATAATAACTATAAAAAAAAGGAGCCTAAATTGGTACTTTATGAACCATATAAAGCTGCAGTGAAACCAATAGTTCCCAAAAATCATAAAAACATTATAAGTCTAGAGAAAAAGAAAAGAAAAAATCTTGACTGTAACGAGCTCGTTTCACAAATACTGTTAATGAGTAATAATGAAATAAATTTACAAAAAGGCATTCCTATGACTTGTGTTAAACCAATAGCTAAAACGAAAGATAAACCATTGGAAACATTAAAATCTGATAATGACAAACAAAATTTACTATCTGAAGTATGTTTTTTGAACAACACAAAAAAAAATATTTATGACACCAAGTTTTTTTTGTTTACAGATAGATTACCTACGAGATGAAAATTTAACATTAAAAAGCCAATTGGCTTTTCAAGCACAAGTCAATGCAGAGCTAAAAACCATGTTAGTAGCAGCTGTTGGTGAAGATGTTGAGACGAGAGTTCATTTATTAACAGAAGACAAATTACATTTAGCCGAAGCGTTATTGAAAAGTGTTGAGAACTTATCCACTCATCAGGTGCGTATCAATTGCAAAATTTTTTTTTATATCGTAATAGTGATTATAACATATGAATTTCATTAGGAACAAATTGAATGGCTTGCAGGACAGTGTGAAGTGTGGCGAAGTAAATTTCTAGCATGCAGGTTTTTAAAACATATAGTATTAATTTTGTATTTGCAAATGATATATTTATTCTGTGTTTTTGCTTTAAAGTCTGATGGTTCAAGAACTTGCCAATTCTAAACAGACTCTCACACAAAGAGTGAACGAACTAACGGAATCATTGAAGTGTTTGTTATTGGAAACGCATTATGTTAGGGATAAACAATGCGTCACCTTACAAACCTTGAATAAGATTATAAATGCAGAAACAATTTCGCCAGTTTTGAATTTTTTAGATTCTAATGGCAAGTGCCAAGATTTTTCACAAATTGCATTTGAAAAATGTAAAGGAATTATTGAACTGCATGAATCATCGAATTATACACCAATATTTTGTAATACACCAGCAGAGGCTTATGCTGAAAAGGTATATTAATGTTATATCAATATTTTATTGTGTTATCAATGTTTTCATAATATAAAATTGCAGCTACTAACCAATACACTACAAGTTAAAGGAAGTGAAGCTATTTGTAATGCTGTTGTATCGACAGCAAACTTGATATCAAAATGATAAGACTAACTATAAACACATAATAAATAACGCATAGAAATTTTGTAAATATTATTGAAGAAATGTGAACTGAATAAATGTTACAAATGATATATGACAATACCTGAAAGCATTAGAAAATTATTGAATGAAAATATATAAATTAATAATCTTGATTTTCAATTTGTTTCTAACAATTTAATAAGGTACCAACTATTTTCTTGATAGAAAAGAGTACACTTTGCAAGTGTTTTACAGGTGCTAAAAAACTTTCTCTCAAAAACTTATTCTTTTTCAAAATGGATTTTTTTTTTGCCAAAGAAGATATTTGTTGTATAATGTATCTACATCCAAAAAACTTATTTTGCATATCAAATTTGACTGTTTAGATGGCAGATGATGTGACTTCTCACTGCACCAATAATCATTCCGCAGTGAAATAAAATATTCTGAAAAAATGTTTCAGAAATATAAAGGAGTATAAAATTATAAAGATGAAGAGAACAGAATTTGAAAAGATTTTAATAACTAAGTACTTAATTAACTTTCTGTAGTTTAAGTTATAGTAATCGAAAATGAAAATGTTTGCATATCTTTACGTTTCATTGAGTGTGTGTAGTATGTATGTTCGATTACGATTTTTTGTCAATGATTTCAAGAGCACAGATCAACCGATTTGAATGATTAAAAAAAACTTTCGATTCCAATTAATGGGAAGATTTGCTGATTAGTGATACGGAGCAAAGAGTGCAGAAAATACAAATCGAGTTTTTGAGAGAACGGGGCATCCGATTTGAATGATTCAAAAGACATTCGATTCCTATTAATGGGAAGATGTGGTGATTAGTTTTTGGCAAAGGCAGGTCCAATTTACAGGGCAAAAAATGGCAATTCCATTTTAGAGAGAATGGAGCATCCGATTAAAGTGATTCAAAAAGCGTTTTACTTATTGACTATATTTTTGGAAAGGCAGGTCCAACGGTTTTGGACGTAGAGATAAAAGACTCTAAAAATGACCTTAAAAACTGTCTGATATTTATTTATAGGAAAGTAGAATTTTTTTTTCATTTCTTAGGGTTCCGTACCAAGAATTATAATACCGTTTATCGGCTGATTTATAAGCACCTATATTTGGCCTATAAAATACGAATAATCTATTTGAAATACGAATAAATTGATAATAATTTGTTTGAAAATATTTAAATTAACCGTTGATAAATGTTTGTTTGGTGCGGAAATTTCCTGAAGGCACCACTAGTTAGTTATTTCAATTGTTTTAGAATATTATTAATATATAAGAAGTCGTTCCTTTGTCTCGAGCGGTAGTCAGATATTGAATTTCGATACTCCTTTCCCACGGAGCCATTAATCTTCAAAAACAACCTGGCTAATGAATGAATCATGAATGCATGGTCGATTGTGTGTTAGTAATTAGTAAACAAATTGATAATATTTATTGAACGCAAGACGGACAGGACAAGTGTATCGTTTGGCAGGAAAAGAAGAAACAAAACAAACATGAATTGTTTAAAATGCTTAGAGTGAGCGAGCGAGCGACTTTCATTGTTTAATCCAATCGTTGTTATATGTTATATGTTTTGTACGGAGGTAGTGGATTTATGGAGGTATGGAGGTATGGAGGTATGGAGGTATAGAGGTATAGAGGTATAGAGAGGTATGAAGGTATTGTTCGTGTTCGTGTTGGTGTTCGTATCTTGGTATTCGTACTTCGCATCATATGATGATGATGGCCGCTGCAAATGTGTGTTAGTTGCCGTCGCCGCTACGGGTCGTTTGGTGGTGTTGGTGAGCGTAGTACAGCTTGTCTCTTGCTTGTGTTCCCCAGCGTGTCCGTGTCCATGTATTCATTCCGTCTATTCTGTGGAGTGTATTCAATTGACTGTCAAATGCAGTCCGACTAAAAAGTGCTAGATGATAGCACCGATTCAAGTGCAACAATATTTTTTTAAAATTAAACATAAGTGCCAGTAAAGGTAGTCAAGCAGCCAGTCATCGGCTTGCACTTCTTTACTTTGATTATGTCGAGTGATTTGATATGGTTATCATCAAATCATTAGGTATGTTGACATTTCGGAAGCGCGTGTACTCTAAATGAATGGAACTCATGAATGGAACACGAGGGTTCTGTGGAAAAAGACTAATGCTATATAAAAACTATTATGTGATAGGGAATATAGTGTATTCTAATCCAGTTTGGGATGGCTACCGGCGGCCCGGAGCCTGGGCCGTCGGAGAGCTCGCGGAGTTGTGACTTAAGCCTTCATGGCTTTTCGGAACAACCGTGGTCTGTGTTTGCGGCAGCCCTGGGCCGAGATCACCCGATAAGTAAGAACCTATTTACTATTTACCTATTTACTAAATACGCCATAAGACCACGCTTATTTTTGGGGATTCGCTCATTCCATGATGAGCGAAACACCGCCGTGTTCTTTGTTACATAGAAATTGAATTGCTACCTAATTATCAGATGTGTAGCTTTATAAAGTCGATTTATTCAAGTGTATAGTTATATAGAAAATCTTTTTAACTTCAGATCAATCTAATTATTAGAAAAGATTGTTTTATAATCATATGTTATTTTTCTAACTCCTCTATAATTTTTTAGGTGATGATAAATCCGAATGCCTCAACAAGTCTTACGTGCATAGATTTGATTGCGATTATATGGGTCTCTTTGGGTTCTTTCCTAACCGAGAAGATTTTTTAACTGTTGTCTGTGATGAATGTAATACATTATTAATACCACATAGAGTCAAGCAACATTTGTTGATTTATCATAAGAAGGATTCAACAGCTACTAAACCTATTCAAAATGATCTGTTCATTAAGCACAAAGAACATGAGCATAATGCATCTCCAAAGGTTCAGAAATTCAATCCTGATATTCACTGTGGCGTGGTATCGGAGGAGGATTCAAAGCCTTGCATGCATTCTTTGACTTGCAAGAGTCATTCATCATTTATGAGGCGCAGTGTTGC